CCCCAAAACCCCAAAACCCCAAAACCCCAAAACCCCTTCAGAATTTGCAAGGTTGAACTACTGTCGCTTAAAATACATCTGCTGAGCAAGTTCTGGAGGAGGAGTCTTGTAGTTCAGAAATTTCTTTGTGAAGATAGCTCCAAGCTCATCTTCATGAGCCTGTGCTTTCTTCTCTTTCTTTTTCTTGCCTTTAAGTAAACTTTGAATGTTGAACTCAGCCTAGATAATAATTGATAAAGCAATTATTTGATCGGCTTACCCTCATTTCAATCCTATTTTTGTGGTTTGGAGTTTCTTTGGAGGAAGCTGGTCTGAAGAAATTGACTAATCTCTTTTTACTGTTACTCCGAGTATGTCAAACAGTAAGTTTGTGCTTCTGCTCTTTCGCTATTTTAGCATTAGTCATATATTCTCCAAGAGTTATAGGCTCCATGTCGTCCTCAAAGCTAGGCCTCTGCTTTACCATTGGAGGCTTTCTCTGAAACCGTTCAAGCTCGTGGGCTGATTTTATATTCTGTGATCTAGTTTTGAAATGCCCTGGTACTACTTTAGGCGAACCTTTCCGACTGGGATTCTCATTGGTTTCTTCTCTTAAATCTTCAGTAAATTTTATTGTAATATCATTATTGTGGAACACATTATTTTTCAGGATTATTAGGATTAATAGTGCTAAGACAGTCATCGGACTCGTTATTCCTCGTCTGATTTTCGAAATTTTCTTTAATCTGAATCGTAAACTTCTTAAGGTCTTTAAACTTCTTTAGTTTTTTCATACTACACTTAGATTTTGCATTCTCATCCGAGGTGGAATATTTCTTAGCTTTAATTTTATTCTTACTTGGTTTATCCCCTTTAGCTGAAATCTTGATTTTCTTCTGTTTATTTCTTATCTCCAGTACTTGAGAAGGAGTTTAACTTGGCACATTGGCTGACAGCCAGCTCTATTAACCTTCATACCTTAGAGTGTGCTTTCTTTTGTTTCTCATTCGAAAGCAGATGCTTTGATGCTTTGAGGAAGGACTTCATTTCTTCACAACTTTTGAATTCTTTCTTCTGTATCACAGCTGTTAGGAAGCTGACTACGTATTCCATTGTTGGCAATGTAAGTAATTTTATTGATTCAAGTTTAAAAATTATTAAGGGGTTTTGGGGTTTTGGGGTTTTGGGGAGAT